AGAACTTACAAGCGACGTCATCCAACAACTAGACGAAGGGAAGGCGAAAGGCGTGGTAAGAAGAGAAGAGATCGACGAGGAGTCACATCTCCACGAGATATGCAAATCAATGAATCAATGAACGAATGAATCATTGAAGACGTTGGACCTACTAAGTGGGGCGTTCTAGGGTAACGTGCAACCAGACGAAGTCACAATGTGGCGAGACTAATTGAATTAATAGACCAATTTACCCTGATCGCAGCAACAGTTGGTTGGGGTTTTTTTTTGTTTTAGTAAAACTTTTACAGCCCTTGCAACACAATTAAGTTATACTGTATAAGTGCCGAAGATTAGAGGCTTTACTAGAAAACAACGTACAAATAAAAGAAGGAGGAGAGATAATGACGATAAATACTGGACAGGAAACAACGAGAAAACCACACCAGAGCATCTGCCAACGACCCACGTACAACAGTTAGACATGCAGCTGAAAATCTTGACAAGATTGCACTTTTGAGCATCGGGAACTGTACTCTCACCTTTTCTTTGCAAAGAACGGAGCCGAGCCGTTTCTCTTCAGACGCCTGTGTACAAAAACCCTCCCCAAAATACAATATAGCAAAAAATAATTAGTAGTGTATAACCTCCAACCATACCCAGATATTATAGTTACTGAGAAAGCGATGAAAAGGGAGGAAGGTTGTGAGAACGAAAGGATCAGAGACTCACGGTGCTGGATGAGCATCAAAGAAACGACATATCGACCTGCGTTTCTCAATAAAGATGCAAATGAAATAGTAGAGGGGATACAGAGGGAAACCGTCGCTCATCAGTTCTTCTTGAGTACCTTGAGGCAAGGGGGTTTGGGGGAGGGGAGGGGAGGGTACTGGCCTGAGGGGGGGGGGCGTGTCGGAAGTCCTGAGCGATAATGCCACGCGCATGTCACATTGGTATTGACGTTTTCGCCGAGACAGAACGCTCATACTGGTAGCAGATGGAGTACTGCCGAGGTTGTTACAGAGCAGGGGAGGAATCTTGCCCTTTAGAAGACATTGCAGAACAAACAGAAAGCGGAGGGAGCAAATATTGAGAACGTTATTATTTCCTCTGTGGTTCCGAAGCATATCTATAATAGTCCCCAGTACTCTTTTGGGTTGTTTTTTTCTTTTTCATGAAGGTTTTTTTAACGCCTCCCATCAACACAATTTAGATCATTTAGGATTCGGGCTTCAGACCCTGTCTGTCAGGGGTGAGAAAGATCCATCCCAGCAGAAGGACCGAGATGCTCGATAGAAAAGCTCTTCCCACCAGGGAATCGAACGCGGGTCTCTTGTATGCGACAGCGAAGCGCCTGACCGCTCCACCGCAGATGCTACTGTCCTAGCATTCTTCCAGAGTTTTGTTGTTGCTAAATATTATACTGCTATCAACAATTCTATGGTAATCGTAGATGGGCAGTCTGTTTCAACTTTGGCAAGAGTTTTTACTGTGCTCGCAACTGCATGACGAGGTCATTATTATGAGCGAGCTTCGGTTTGTTTCGAGTAATAATATACTTTAATGAATGTATTTCTAGGGGTGGTTAGCGGGTGTTCTGATGTGATTTGCTCCTTGTTTTCTATCAAACATCTACCATCCTTATTACTCATCTTCCACCTCCGCCCACCCTACTCGGTTTGGGGGG